TCAGTATCACCTCTTTGAAGTTTTTGAATATCGGTGGTATTATTGCTAATATCTTCCCTGGGACTTGAAATTACAGTTTCTTGTCGACTTCCATTCTTTGCCTTTCCATCTTCGTTCAAGCCTTTTGTTGAAATCCTTATATCCTCGAATACTGTGAGATCCTCTCTCTCGATCAAAAGATGTCGAGTAGAATCGGATAAAGTAGTACATTGACGATGATCTACTGTTTGTGAAACTCTGCTGGACACACCTCGAACTGTATTGGAGATGGTGTTGATTGGTAGCAGTGAGTCTGAGATCTTCATAGGTTTACATGTGGTATATTCATCTATACTGCTGTATGTGTCCAAAAGATCTTTCTGATCGATTTCTGTTTTGCTACTGACCACAATCTTTTCATTTGTATCCATTCCTACTAAGCTTTTCATGATTTTACAAGTACTGTATCCATCCATATTGATACAAGGTGAATATGTGTCCATATCCATGTACTCATCTATTTTGTTCCTGTTGTTTCTGGTGCTGATCTTTTCGTCGAATCCTGATAATGTTTTCTTAATTTCATTTCTCGAATCGATTTCTTCCTGGTGATTTTCACTCTCAAGCACGTGATCTTCAGAACTGACACATGAAATGGGTTGAAGTCTTTCATCTACCATGGCTTTAACAAAGGGATCAACAACAGTTGGACTTAGATCTTTTACGCTTTTACCGAACCGATATCTGACCTTCTTCACGCCATCAATTGGTGATACTCTTTCAATGTAATCCTTGCCTTTACTTCTTGTAGCCTCGTAAAGTTTCTTGTAGAAATCAACCTCTTCATCGGCCCTCTCAACACTACACTGTAGAATCAAAATACGGTTCATACAATCATCGTTTTCATAATGTAGCTTGTCGATATGTCTGAAATAAAAGATACATCAAATAATTATCACTAAATTTTACAAAATTGGAGTCAATTATTTACTTTTATCATTAAAACAGCAATGAAATAGTATCTCCATCAAGAATAGTACATTCACACAAAAAAAGTCATTTACTATGATTCAAATACAAGTACCTGTTAAGTTGATCAACTTTAAAGCGGAGATCATCATTTTCTGATTGCATCTGATTGTTGTTTATCTTAACACGTTCCTCGTAATCTTGTAGTGATGAACCTGTAAATATAAAGAAGATAGACATTTTGGATATTATCTTGATACTTAAAATATCGCGTATGAAATTCATTTATGACCTTAGATCCAAACCAAAAGTACATAAACGCAGTCAATTGCCCCTACATGCATTAAAAGGTAAAAAAATCCAAAGGTATATAAACACAATCGAATATACCTACGTACATTTAAATATTAAAACTGATCTACGTTATGAGAAACATCGCATTTATTGCTGATAATCGTCGGTGCCGATATGGATAGGCTAAAATGTCCGGCATATCTAATTAGATATACTGAGTTACAGTATGCCAAAGGAAGTGTAAAAAAGTCTCTCTCCAATTAAAGTCCCCTGACAGCCTCACCGACGCCAGCTTTAACATGAAAAAAGTATATCGAAAGTCCGCACCGATACCTAACCAAATATTCTGTGCTGTGACCGTCTAATCGAATTAAAAATAGATCTATCTAGAAATTATGCAATGACATATCTGACAAATTATCATATTTTTTAAATAAAAATATTACATATTTATATATTTGTCTACCCAAAAGCTAAAAAGGATGCGTCCTTTCTATGTTCCTACTGGAGTGGCTAATAACATAGACCGTAGACTATTCGTTTGCGCTCCTGGTTGATAGATGTTTTTCACGCATGTTTAATTTATACAGAAATTGACCTGGATCATTAAATACAAATGACCATGTATGTATATTGTATGTTTAAATGTAAACACAGAACAAACCTTTAGAGTCAATTCGAGGTTTAGATATGTTCCCTCCACCGGTTTCAGGTTCAACACTACACCAAGATCCGCTTAAAGATGATGCATAAGATCCTGAATCACCTGTAGCTGATACGAGATCATGTTTAATCCAATAAGCTTCACCGGGAATTGGTTCTGGTAAACCTATAAATTTAAGACATTCGTTTTGAAGAGACATTTTGACTAAAAGAAGGTTACCAGTATTTAACTTGTCTTGACTTAAAATAACTTAACTGGTTTAATTTATAAGTAGAATAATAGATCTAATATATAATATATAATGTTTCAAACATACTTTATCAGCGTTTTACAAATACAGTGAGCTTCACTCTCGTCTTATACTCACCAGTAATTTCTCTAGGAGATGGATAGGGAGAATCTTCATCACTTTCATCTAGCGGTTCCATAGCTTTATGGCCATTTAATACACGCTTTTTAAAGTCGTGTAAAAAATCAATTCTACAAAACAAAACCATAATAATTACCATCTTGATTTCTTTTAGTTGCGTTACCTTTGTATTCTTTAGAAAAGAAGCGTGCCTTCCGTTTTGTGTTAGAATATGAACAGTTCTAATTACTCTTAACTCCTTCAAAACCGTGATTTTAAAAAAGTTATTTATATGCAAATAATGAAAAATATTCTTACCTGGAATCCATTGAACAGTTTTTATAGAATTAGAGTGATAATTAGCTAAAATGTAAAACTTTGCTACATAAAAAGTAGAAAGACGTCCTGTTAATTATAAAATAAGAGCAGGAATGGTGGAACAATAGACATAACGTCATGGCTTGCATTATGACGTCGTTTAATTATTTGACGCAATAATGGACAGCGTTTCTTTTTTGTTTTTCTTTTTTTTCCTGATAAAAGTGCACAACAAACCCGACTACATTGAGAACTTCCGGAAGTTCATATATATGGCTTTTAATTTTAAAAGATATAATATTGGTTATATGTAATGGTATTTGATGAAAGGTGTGGTAAATTTCCCATTCAGTAAGTGGCGTACATAAGGTCGAGGTGAGGGGTGGAAGGGGTAATGGTGCTTTGACACTGATCAGTGCACCGGCATCCATTTGAGTGAATGGAGGGTGATCCTATCAAAAAGTAAAAATAAAATTAAAAGTTTTTTTGAAAATTGAAGTTATCGCTGTTAACTTGGTGTTCACACTGCCATACACCCCAACAAGCTGGTATGAGGATGTCACAGATCTTAATTTGTTAATATACTCTTAAAAAAAAAGTAGGGATATTGAAATGCAAATACTTTTACAGGTTGTGATACGATAAATAGTCATGGACACTTGACATGCTTTGAGAGTATGTTCACAAATGAAGAACACAACACAACCACTGAGCTGCACACGCGACACGCAATAGCGCCATACAAGTGGGAAATGAAATGAAATGGGGTTTAACATCCTACGTTTTTGCTCCGAACTGGGCTAATGAAGACGGGCATACGCCATACAGTGTGCTATGAGGGAAATTTTTCCCGGACAGCGGTAATACGGCCTACTCTTATATCGAATTCCAACTGTCAAGGGATCTTTTACGTGCACGCCAATGTGTACACGGGACCTCGGTTTTCCGTCTCATCCAAATGACTAGACAGCTGTCCTTGTCAGGCCCTCCGTCCTGCATCATACAAGTGGGAGGGATTCATTGTCAACTTTGACACTTCAAGGAAGGGTTGATGAAAACTGCCGCGTGCTGGTTTATCCTATCCATGTTTGCTTTCCTATCGGTTCTTGCATAAGATTTACTGTTTAGCGTATATTTGCTTTAGTGTGTTGCGTTTAATTTGCAATGAGACGTCTTCAACATGATGAACGTCTATACGTGCTACTGGCATGCTTCAAATGGGTTCTACACAGCGAGTAGTAGCCAACATGCTTAATGTGTCACAAACACACAATGTTGATGATAGACCTCGTTCAGGTTGTCCCAGAGCCACTACAAAAGCCGAGGATCGATACATTCGTACACAGGTCCTGCGAAATCGAGGACAAACGACCAACCAGCTTTCTGTAAACTTGTACCAAGTTACAGGATTTCGAGTTACACCCCAAACGATTAGAAATCGGCCACATGCAGCCTATTTACATGCGCGACGACCGGTGTTGTGCCTCCATTAACTCGTCAGCACATGACAAACAGCCGCCAATGGTGTCGGCAGCGTAGAAATTAGGGAAATCGTCGATGGGCGCGTGTAATGTTCTCAGATGAGTCCAGACTTACGCTGGATTTCACCGATAGGCGTGCTCGCGTTTGGAGGCGTGTAAATGAGCGTCATGCTTACGTTAACGCCAGACAGCATGCATGACAGATTCGGGCGTGGGTCTGTTATGGTGTGGGGATGAATCACCATGACTGGCAGAACGGACTTGCATATTGTTCAAGGAAGGGTCACTGGTGTGTAATACCGTGACCAAACCCTGGCACCGATAGTTCTGCCCTTTGCTCAACGTGCAGGTGGACGTTTCATCTTTCAAGATGATAATGCCCGTGTCCACCGCGCTCGTGTCGTGAATGACTACATCCAGCGTCACTATATTGTCCATATGCCTTGGCCAGCCATCAGTCCTGACCTTTCCCATATAGAGCATGTCTGGGGACGTGATCGGGAGACGTGTTCGTCGACGTCAAAGTGAACGGACAACACTGCAAGAATTGGCCGTGGCACTGTAAGAGGAGTGGGCCAGATTGCCCCAAATCGTGATTGGACGGTTGATTAGGAGCATGCCACGACGAATTGCTGAATGTCTGAGGATTGGTGGAGCAATTACTCATTATTAAGACAAAAATCAAAAGCGTCCATTTTCACTTTTGACAGTGTATCTCTTTGCGAGTGAAATGGGGCCGTCAGACAAACCGCCCATATGAACTGTGTATGTTCATGTGTAGGCAATTGACCTGTTATTAACATACACTGGTTCCTCTAATAAAAACAGCAGTCCATCTCTGCAGTTTTGTATTGTTTCTGAATATCCCCCACTTTTTTTGAAGAGTATATAAATAACAATAGCAGCCCCTGAATCAGAGTGTCAAACAGTAAAATTTCTATTAAAATATTTGGTTTTTATTTATTATAAAACAGAATCGTATACATAAATATGTAAAACAGAATCAATTTATGCATATAAAAATATGCCACTGGTCATATTGTGAACATTTTTCACATTTACAAGCATTAACAGTCAAAACAGGTGTCCTCGTTTTCCCCGAGTTTTAAAGAATTAAATCAAAAACTTCATGGATCTGGAATAACTTATCCTATATTGTAGTCACAAGCTTAACATGTCAAAATCTGCTAAAAAAAAATGCAAAAACAGAAAATTTTAAAATCTGGTATAAAAATATTCACTAAAGTTAACAAATTAAGGATAAATTAATTATGGACAGATGTAGATTCAAATACACAGAATATATTTTAATTAGGTGTTCTGCATTCCTCCATAATAGCTTCATGTGAAAACGTCAAATACATTAATGCATGCATGATAAACTTGCTGTAAATATCATGATCTCTTTACATTGTTTTGGAGTTCATAATGAATTATGATATAATAAAACTACATGTAAAGTTTTCTATAAATAAAATTATGGATGCCTGATTAGTTAAGCTGCAGACACACTAGGCAAATTTCTGCCAGAATGAATCCGTGAATATTAATAGATTAATTATTCAGCAATAATTGACCAATACATTTAGAATTTACTAGAAGCCAATGTTAACACCCAGTATGGTATTTTAATAAATCCAGGAATAAATGGAGCTAACCAACCATATCCACCTTGCTGCAACAGATATTTTACTTGTCGAATAGATGCTAGATGTCTCCCTGAAATGGAAAAATATAGGGTTAATAAATCAACTAAAATTGAGCAATCATATTAAAACTAAATATTTTTCTTTTTTGTTTATTCTAAGCCTAATGATAAAAGTTATTTAAAAAAAGAATTTTCTGTATCACAAGTTCTGATTGGTAGGTTGATCTAGAGTCGACCAATCTTTTTTAAATATGTCCATAGTTGTGTATTGATTTTAAAATGTTTATTGTGCCTTAAATATTGGGATATTAGAAACCCTTATTTTCACTGTCAAATAACATCAATATTAAATGTCTAATTCATGTTTTTATTTCGAATATTATGGATAATACTGAGTTAGAGGCTTAGCTCCTTTGAGTAATTATCAGAAATAATTAAAAAATGTGATTGGCTTTTAGTTCTTCAAGATGTTAAACATTAATTATACAAAACATGTACTGGTAACAATGATAAATTTAGCTGATCTATTAAATGGAATCTTTGCCATTAAATAGTCTTCATAACATAAACATTGTATATTAAGTTCATATGAATTGGAAAAGAACTAGATTATTTATTAAAGTGATCAGAGTAATAATTCTAGACATCTTCATTTCATTAACGTACAGTGATTCTCAACCAGTGTACCGCGAGATCTTCCTAAATGTGCCGAGAAATTTTGAACGGCACACAAAGAAAATGTGAAAAAGCATGTGATTCAAACTGAGTATTCACTGGTGTCTACTGATAAGTTCATAGCTGTGTTTGAGTCATTCTATGTGTTTATGACTAGTCTCTGTCTTCAGTTGTATGCTGTCTGACTTACCATGTTTTCATTTTGCAAATTTCAAATATTTTTCATATATATTTAGCCAGGTGTGGCACTATTTTTTCATGTGTTCCAAGGTGTACCGTTAGCAAAAAAGGTTGAGAACCACTGCATTAACATAACAAGTGATTGCCATGCAAGATACACCGACATTTTGCAAGAGATGGACAGAGAACAGGGAAAATCAATAGGGCTCATCCTCTCATTCTCCCAATGCTTTACATTGAAGTTGGAAAAAAAATCAGTTAAAAACTGATTCAAGATTTATAATTTAGTCTGTTGCACACATACTGACAAAGGCTTCCTTTTAAAAATTGTGTTTTTATTGGTCAAGGCTATTGCATAGCTTTAGGGAACTAACCCAAATCATGGCCAGTGAATATACATAATATAACCCCCATGTTGTAAGATACAGTGTTTGAAAAGTGTTAAATAAACACAAATAATAATATAAATTTGTTTGTTTTATAATACAGATTAAATGGAATTTAAGGTCCTACTGTTTCTGTATTACCACTGGTTCTGTAATACAAGTGTATTTGTTAAAATAATTCAATGTGAATTAACAACCCACAAGTTGAGTTTTGATGTGCACCAAAATAAAACACATTCAAGATGAGAGAGAGAGAGAGAGAGAAATGGGGTTTAACGTCGACACAAATTAGGTCATTTCGGGACTAACACATGGTTCAATTTTATTTCAAACCCACAAGGTTGGACAGGCGACCCTACTCCTTGTCACGTACAACCAGGGAATCGAAACCCCGCCAGTTGACTCAATGACAGACCGTATGATACAGCGCACACGTGATAACCATTTGGCCATCCACCCCCCCCCCCACACCCCCACTTTCAAGATCTTTTGACCCTTATTTGTTAAGTTTCATCTCAATCAGGCAAAAATTACAGTCTCTGGAGGGTCTACAGACTTCCTACATATTACACTATTTGCATAAATGGAAGTGGCCATTTTGATGGGAAGTTTCTGTCCGATTTTCACGAAATTCTATCTCAACAGTAATTATGGTGTAACGGTGATATCTATGAAAGCTTTTTTATATAAAAAAAAATATGAGACCTCCAGAGCATTCACAAGCTAAAACAGCAATAAACCAGTGCGACGACAGTATACAACCACATTTCAATTTAGGCGTATAAAAAGTAAACAATCAAGGTGAAAGTTTATATAAGACATAAATATGTTTACCATTGACATCATCAAAACCATATTCATCTCCCAACTCAGTTGATAACAAAATACGTGCAGTTTTCTTAATGACATTTGGATCTAAAAGAAATTAAATATAAATTACATTTCTGCTCATGATATTTGCTTCATTACATGAAGTCTGTTGCTTAACAAATTTAAAGGTAATTGAAAGTCTTGAGCTTTAACATGTTTTTCTGAGTAGTCTTGTAGTCAAGGACAATAACTCTGGAAGTAATCATCAGAAATCAATGAAAAAAGACTTTCTTTCTGTGTCAAAGTCAATCGGATGATAACTTTTTTCAAATTGATTTAGTGCCATAACTGTGACAGTAAATAGCGGCAGACGTCTTTATTACATGCACCCGGCACCTCCTACACTGTAAAAAGTTTATGTGAAAAAACACGAAATTACTGTGAAATAATACAAATTCACTTGTTAAAAAACATTGCGATGTAAATTTCCGCGATTATCCTGTTTTTTAACATTTTCGTGAAATTTCAACTTTTAACAGTCGTTAAAGTGTTAATTAACAGTAACTTAATGTGAAATAACAAGTTTGCTGTAATTTCACAGAAGGCTGTACTTTTACATGGAGAGGTAGATCTTTAGTCGATATGACAATTTAGTAGGCCCTATCTATTGTGCCTTTACCACGCAAAATAACCAAACAGGGAGGATCATAACGGTTTCTCACGAGAATATTTTTAAAGTATGCCAGGATCAAGCAATTATACTTTTATAAAATGTCAATACAATTAGAATGACTGGAAGTTAGAACATATTGACTTTTGACTAAATTCCCCCTTGGAATTTTTATCATACCTATAATATGTATGCACAAATAAAAATGACGGCAGTTCGGGCTTTTGAATAATACTCTGACCATAGAAAAGAGGGACATATTACAAATGATACTTAATTTGCAATGAATGGCGGCAACAGGGAAAGGGGGGGGGGGGTGTAGGAAAAATGTCACCGAAAAAAATAGCACCGGAAGACATGGCACCTGGAAAAAATTTCACCCGAAAAATAAAATAGAATCAAAAAAACATTGGATACAGAGATAAGTAATCGAGAGAGTCACGCCTGGCGGCGTTCCTACTCACTGTGATGTATGTATACACCCTTTTTCTGGTTGCGGCATTTTTCCGAATGCCATTTTTTCCGGGTGCCATTTTTTCCATATCATTTTTTTCCGGTGTCATTTTTCCGTACCCCATGAGTGGGGTGTTGTACATGAGCGTTGTACCGATTTTTTGGCTCAAAAACCCCAAAAGGGGACGATTTTCAGGCGTTGTACCGACTGTGTACCCCCACCCCCTCCCCGGGCCTCCCAACCTCAAACCCTCCAGTTGGCGACGCCCATGCTTCAGCCAAAAATAACAATGACGCAATCTAGTGGTCGTGCAAGTTCGCAACACGTGACTGAATTTCACGACATGAATTAGTCAACGTTAACGAGTGAAACTCATCTGAATATCAAAATCAGCTGTAGTTTTACACCTTATTTGATTCCTAAATAGATCAATAAATATAGCTTACTCATACTGCCGATAGAAATAAATAATCGGAATTTTTCGTTTTGCAGCCTTGACGCGACCATTTAACGGCAACCGTCTATTCGCGCCATTTCGCTAACATGGCCATAACCCAACTGTAAACATCAACATCAAATTCACAGTACCAGAGTAACCAGAATTACCTACCAGTCGGTAAGTCGTCCAAGCATAAGAATATGATTGACGACGAATTCCTCTGAGCCTCTCACTTACATAAATTAGAACTGCTAGTGCCTGTCTGTATACTACAGAGTTGTCTTTGACTCTTTCCCCATCCCTCAAGATTTTAGAACGAAGACCGCATGGCAGATGGCTGACGCCATAATGATGATGAGGCAAGACCAGTTGGAATTGAATAGAAATAGTGTTTTAAATGTCCTATTTTTCTCTACCTTATGGGCTGGTGAAAACGGCTATATTAAATTTATATACGTACTGTAGAGGGTTCACATGAAATTTTTAGGGGCGTCAATATTTGTCAGTCTACAAACAGTCCAGACTGATGACACCCATTTTAGATTAACATTGCAATATGGTGGACTTGAGACTGCCTGCTGTTTGAAAAAAAAATATTATAAAATGGTAGGCCTACATAAGTTTTGTTATATACCGGTAGGCCCTACTCACATTTCGTACAAAAATAAATAAAGTTTGAGTACGAAAAAAAGGTGGTATCAAGAATGTAAGTGGTATGAAATTATCCGTTTGCCATGTCAGCCGGCAAATTGTCACCCCAAAATTGGCAAATACCTCTAAAAGTAACTGAAATCTACACCAACTGTTTAGACCTTTTCCTTTTGTTATTATTTTGACTATTGATAGATGAATTTCAAACTTGAAATTTCAATATTTAAAAAAATTTGTTCTATAAACTGGTTTAACCCTTTCGGTCCTGAATTATTTAAAACCAATGCACGCTCCCGACCTGAATTAATTTTAGAATTGAGACCTAAAAATTTCAAATGAAACTTTAATACAGAAGCAATGATGCAAACCCCAAACATGAATTGAATTTATTTTAGCATTTAGTCTGATTTTTCAGAAAATGTAATTTGTTTTCATATTTACTCCCTTGAAGCCCGGTTGAACGGACCGGACCTCCACATTTTTCGCAAAAAGAGTAGCTGTGAATCTGTGGACTGTGCACCCATTACGCAGGATCAACAAGGTCTAGTACAGAGTTATTTATGACAAAATTACCGTCTGTTTATACTTCAAAATCCTTGTTATCCGATTCATTATCCATAATAATTTCACCCAAGTTTTCCTCTAGAGTCATGTACGCCATTGACATAACGTCATCATAAACAATGCAGAAAATTCGAAGTTTTTAAACTGAAGTTTGCAAGTTAATTTTTCTTAATCTCGATAACTATAAATAGAACATAAAATGTCGACCGGAAACAGGAGAAGCCAAGCTTGCTTACATAAATCATGGACTCAAATCATGAAAAAACAAAGGTTTTGTACAAGAGGGGTCATATCGATCTGGTTGCGAGAGAGGTTTTTGCGTCTGGTCCAAGAGAGTTAAATTGTTGTGAGGTTGATGGATTTCCAGTCTCAAGAATAATTGTGATATTGACATCCAGTCTTTTCGAAATTGAAAACGGCTAACTTGCAGAACAACTTTCTTTAAATATTGAAGTTAGGAAATTTTAATTTTGAAAATCATCTATCAACAGTCAAAGTAATAACAATTTTAAGGTCAAATCAGTTTTTGTAGATATCACTTACCTTTAGAAATATTTGCCAATTTTAGGGTGACACTTTGAAAAAATCAGACAATAAATAATGACTCTATGAGGCTAAATTCTTCTTTTTGATTTCTAGTCTCGGGACTGAAAATAAATTTCGGCCATTCCCAAAATATAGTGGTCGAAATCCGAGGAGATTTCTGTAATTAGAGGGGTGCTGACTTCAATCTGGTCCCCCCTCATCCTCATGAGGGCTGGTATGGAAAAACGTTCTAGTCCATTGGAGGGTGAACAGGGTAGGCATGTGCCGATGCCCTGGCGAAATTCATCCTCATTGCACATGCTTGGCAAATGTCCGTCTCTAAAAAGCTTTACAGTGCATAAAAATGGGGCGTTAAACTCCATTTAATTTCTATTTATAGACCTAATTACCCCCCCCCCCCTTTAAGATATACTCTCTACATTAATTATGTCCCAAATCAAATATGACAGTCACAAAACCACAGAGATATATGGTACTAACACGAACCACAGATTCATATACCGTTTTATGCCATTATAGATATAAGATCCAGGGAATACTCTCGATTATCAAGAACATGCAAAAAAATAATGTCCCACACTATTCAACTTCGTGTTTAATCGTGAAGTTACCTATCGAGATCTCGGAAAGGTCAAAGGTCAGGTGAACCATTTCTGATACGAAGTTAGACCGCAACACACACAAATAGTTTCGTAAATATAGTTCACTTTCAATGGACGTCGATGAAAAGTTACTTTCTTACAAAAATTCAGGGGTTGGCAGTAGGGATTACTTGGATATGTTTTCTTGAGGTAAATTATAAGTAAATCTGATATGTACTATATATGTAGATCATTTGTGGCATTTTGTTTCCCGAGTTATTGCCCTCCGGAAGTTTGCATCAAAGCTACCTACACAAACGACAAATCTAGCAATTGAGAGTTAAAGATTTTGTTTTGTTACTTTTTAGTGATGGATGAAGTTATTACTTTCGTCGAGAAACTAATTCCTGATATATCTCAAACCCAGTTCAGTCTTTTAAGGTCTAGATTTGAAGACATAGGCATCTCAACTATTGAAAACTTAACATACTTGAATGTTGAGGATTTGACAGACATTTTGAAACTTGTTCCTGCGAGACGATTTATAGCTGAGGTTAAAAGGAGGCTTAATATTGGTAGGTATTAATGTTGTATTTTTTATGTAAAAGCAGGTCTGACTCCCCACTCTCATACTCTAATCACAAAATGCAGTAATATATTCTTGGCACCAGTATCCTTTCATCCAATTTTTACATACAACCAATTTGCATAAGAAATTGTGTACCAGTACTTAGATATAGAATTACATGTTTTAGTGTGACAGGCGTAAGTAAATACGTAATTCAATAATCACATTTGTGTCGCTAATAGTGAAACAGAGGCCTTAGTAGGGTCAAAAGTAGTACTCACATGCCTATAGTAGCAAAATGCGACTGAAAATCAAGTTGGGCTGAAATTCCTTAACCGACCTGATAATAATATTAACATTAACCATATTTGGAAACCTTAATTTTCTAATTCCTAAATGGGAGTCGCGGTGGCTCAGTGAGTATGGGGCTTGCTTGCTAACCAGGAGATCGTGGGTTTGATACCCGTCGGGGAAAGATCATCTAGATTTTCCAATCCGGCTTCCCCTTGTCAGTGGTGCAGACCCAAGTGGCAAGAAATAGCACCTAGTCGTTCGGATGGGACAAAAAACCGAGGTCCTGTGTGCTGCATAAGGGAGCACGTTGAATAACCCAGACAGTTGGAAATCGACTA